AATGAATATTTCCTGAGTACTCACTGAGTAACAATACTCAGAAATTGTTAGTAGTACCAATATGAGTACTCATGGACGAATTATGAGTAAAGTCGTACTCATCGTATGAGTACTTTCACTAGGGAATGTTTCCAAAACTTCCAAATAAGTTTTAACACAGTTATAAAATTTTGGCTACACTGATGGTTAAAACTGTTTATACAACAACTCTTATTTCAAGTATTGGAAAACATTTTGCAGAAACATGTCAGATTTCTTAGTTTTACTTTCCAACTATGTCTGTCTTAATATTGATAAAAAAATTTTTTATTGTTTCTGACGAGCACAAGTCTGTATCACCTCCCTGTCAAACGTTATTAAAAAAACAAGCCACTGAAAATATCCAAGGACTTATCCGTTTTCCGAAGAAAATAAAAGTTTGAAATTTATTTTAAAGGAGAGCTTTTACACTTATTTCGATCACATAAATGTCAGCAGCTGTAAACACCCTGTCGAAATTTTGACCTCATCAAATTTAAAGTTATTTTTGGTATATACATAATTTGAATATTTTTTGAATACATGTACAATTGTTTTGAAAAAGCGTCCTCTATTATTTAGTTTTTTTATTTGGTTATAGGCCATGCCAATCTGATTTTCAACTTGGAAAAAGTTGTTGTTACACCATCATTGTAAAATAAAAAAATATACATCGAAAAAAACTTGCAAATACTTCCATAAAAAAGTTATTTTCTTTTTTGCATCTTTCTGATTCAGACATGAATAGTCTTATCTGTTCTTTCAGGACTAATTCAAATAATCATATGATGGTGAGGAGTTGGGGAGTGCGCTTGTTAGTAACAGTAATATCTTTCTACTCAGGATACAATACTACTGTTTAATTAAATATATATATAATAGTCAAAGTTATCTAATTTTTTTTCAGAGTTTAGAAATCTTTGTTACTTATATGAAGCTTTTCTTTCTAAGTAACTGATTTAGAGTTGAATAATTTGACCAGAAAGTTCTGAAATTTCGAAAATTATCGTTGCCATCAAATTCAGTCTTGATTTCGTCATTAGATGCAGAGCTGAATGAACTACTGAGAATTTTCATCTCTGAATAAGAAGATACATTTTTATGAAGTCTGATCTAGAATTTCACTCGGCTAGAAGTGTAAGCCGGTGGCGGTTCCAAATTACTGAAGACAGTGAAATTTTGGTAGACCGCCCCATGCGCCAGTTCTTCAATCTAATTATCCCATGTACTAAAAATCGGCAATTAATCGTGAAAAATTACACGATTAATCGTGCGCTTAATCGCGATTAATTGACGATTTTTTTCTTGGTAATAAGTTCGAATCCATCTTAGAAAATACATATTTTTCATTGTTTATGATGTATAATGACATGTACGTCATCCAGCAAGGGCCTTAGCACCAGTTGAAGTCGGAGCCTTTCCGACGAGTCGATTTCAGGCATTGCCCAGATACCAACTGTCACTGGGCGGAGCTGTTTACTGAATTCAATGGACTGGAGAATCGTCAATTAATCGCAGCTAATCTGCGATTTTTCAAGAATCGCGATTAATTGTTAAAAATACTGCGATTTCGTCGACATGGGATTTCTCTACACTCACCTGATTATTTAAGACAAGTTTTTCGTAGCAATAGTCGTACGATAACCGGTATTTATGTTAAATTATATTTTGAAGTTATAAAAATTTTCATTATTTTAGATAATGCCTATATCTCCAGTGCTTGTTTCTCACAATCTATCACCATCAATGGACGCTTCATCCGATGAAACATCAGCACCATCTGACGATGATGTATTTAAAATATTAATAACAACTGATAATCATTTGGGTTATTCCGAACGTGATGATGAACGGTCACGAGATTCAGTGACAACATTTGAAGAATGTTTGCAAATAGCAAAAGATCAAAATGTTGACCTTATATTATTGGGTGGTGATTTATTTCATGAAAATAAACCATCGAGTCATGTAATGTTAGAATGTATTAGTTTATTACGAAAATATTGTCTAGGTGATAAAACAATTGAATTTAAATTAGTTAGTGATGAAAAAATTAATTTTTCATCAAATCAGACGAATTCATTTCCATGGGCAAATTTTAAAGATCCAAATTTGAATGTTTCAATACCGGTATTTTCAATTCATGGGTATAAAATAATATTTTTATTCTAATTCGCAATACGCTATAGTTTGTTTTCTAGAAATCATGATGATCCATCAGGTGCTAATCCATTATGTCCACTCGATCTGTTAAGTTCATGCGGTCTAGTGAATTATTTTGGAAATGTTCAAGTTTTAGAAAATATTAATATAAATCCATTATTATTTCGTAAAGGTGTAACAAATTTATCCATTTATGGTTTGGGTTCAATACGTGATGAACGTTTACATCGAATATTTCTTAAAAATCAAATTAATTTATTACGTCCAACTAATACACCCGATGATTGGTTCAATATATTTGTTATACATCAAAATCGTGTAGCACATGGTCCAAAAAATTATATACCTGAACAATTTTTACATGAATTTTTGGATATTATTATATGGGGTCATGAACATGATTGTCGAATAACACCAGAGTTTAATACTGTGCAAAATTTTTACGTGATACAACCAGGTAATTATTTATACATTTGACAAATATAACAAGATAGCTTTAACGACGACTACATAAATTTTGTTCTTGTGTTTCTATTTAGGTAGTTCAATAGCAACATCGTTGAGTGAAGGTGAACAATTACAAAAACACGTTGGTATATTGAAAATTTATA